GATTATATCAGTCTATTAGAGCTCAACTGATTCAAACTTATAATCAGATTAAGTGATTCAAATTGTAATATAATAGAACTGAAGCAGTGACTAGTCAGCAGTATTATATAGAGATAGTTGTTTAAGAAGCTGTATAAGTGAGCTTGACTATCTTGCTTGAATAGTGAGCTTATAGACTACAGAGTTATTGCAAGAATATCACAGATATAATACTTAGTATTCTAAAAAGATTGTATAAGACACATAGTAACTCTTGTATATATTTCAGTTAAAGAAAAAATAAATTGTTGACTTCTTTTATAAGAAGTCAGTATCTAGTTATTCTATATAGATAATGAGCAGATACTCTTCTCTCATTTCATAAGCAAGAATAGTCAGAGTGATACCTCAGCAGTATCTCACTGTTAAGAAAGAGTAATCTGCTGATGTTATATAGAAGTGAGATTCTCATATTCATCAATCAGATCTTTCTATGATATATTCAAATAATGTTATAGAGTGGTTGAAAACTGGTTCAGACAGAATGAAATCATCTGCATGAAAGTGATGAGCTGTGTGGAACCACAGTGAGGTCTTGATGCGGCCGGGAGTGTGACATCAGTACTTAAATTGTAATCTGTTGAGATTGTCTTTGATTTTGAAATAGTCACATATATCACTGCTTCATACATTGAGTCATTCATTATCTCATGAAATGTCAGTGAGCTGTCAGATAGAATGTAAATATTATTATAAGACAGATTAATGTAGAAGATATCACTGTTAATAGATAACAGAAACTCAAAGTAGTTCTCAGCATTAACTTACATATCACAGTGAATATAGCTCTGATGTTTCATAAGCTCAGTGAAGATCAGATTTGTGAATAGTTCTGACATGTAGTATACATAATTGAATTCTATCAATCTTTCACTCACTGAGATAAATACAGTGCTGACACTCTGAATCTTTATAATAGCCTTATTAATCACTTAAACTGTTGAATCATTGATTGCTATAAGTTCTGAAAATCATGATCTATCACTTGCTATGTAACATCCGGCATCACTATCTCATATAGTGAGAGAATTCTTGTGAGATTTTACAAAACAGACTGATATATTAATAACCTCTGTGAGATTTGTCATCTGATAGATGTCTGATTCATTTGTAATGAATAGTTAAGTTCTACTCTCACTATTATTCTTTTTCTTCTTTTTCTTGAATTTCTTTATTCTCACAGTATTATTTATTCTTCAATTATTCAGAGCACTGTCTGAATTGATCAATCAATACATGTTAAAGTGAGATCTCTTATATTCAGAATATGTAGGTGAATTTTCTGATCTCTGATGATTTTAAGAGCTCTCTTGAGTACTATCATGACCACATTCAGTACAGTCTTCACAGGCTGAATTCAATGTATTATTGTTGAAATTAATAGATGTAGTGATCATTGTAGCTGTTGTAGCAGTGTTAACTACAGAATCTGTATTCTGTAGATTCTTTTTATCTTTTGAAGAATTAAGCTATGAACAGATCTTCTTTATGAGAAGATCAACATTCAATACTATAGCAATGAATTTGAAATTCTGTATCTTCTCTATCTTCTTCTGAACATAATTCTTTCAATTGTTAAATAGAACTGAGTAGAAGATATCAAATATTTATGCATCTGAGAGAGAAGTATTCAACATCTTCAATTTTATAATAGTGAACTGAAACTTATTAAAGAATGTGTGTAGATTGATGATCTGTGTATTATTAAAAGACATGAATTTCAGAACTATCTTATAATATAACTATGTTTTAAGAACAGAGTATTTCTATTCAATTGCATTTCATAGAGTATAAGTAATCTGATTTTCATCATATTTGAAGAAACATGGTCTGACACCTGCACTCAAGAAGTTTGAGATGAATGTGTAAAGTCATCAGTTTCTAACATCTCAGAATGATACTTATTCATCATCTCTTTATAGAGAGTTCTGAATCTATCATTTCTCTATTATATATTAACACTGTGCATCAATCAGTTTCAATTTCATGAAGATACTTTATATAATGTAATTGAATGTATCAGTTAGACTGTTTAATCTCACAGTATTCTTGACATCTTTCTTGAATTGAGAGATTGTCTTGTCAACACAGCTATTCAGTTTATAAAGATTGAATTTCAATCTTTCACTGAGATTAGAATTTCATGTGACTGTACAGACTGTTAATGTGATGACAGAATAATTGTTAACATTCTGTAATTAATCTGTAGAGAATCTCTGTTGACAGAGTTTTTTCAGTTATAGTTTGAGTTCTAAAACTCTTTACTTCTTCTTCTTCATCTTAAATATTATCTTGAGATGCTTTATCTATTAATCTGATATTGTCTTATCTGAACAGTAGACATCTGAGTGTTCATTATTCTCATCAAGAGAATCAGCTTTATCAAGCTATTAAGTAGATTAAGAGGCCAGCCTGACCATGTCAGAAGCTGTATTCAAACCAGCTTTGAATTAAGAGAGTGTTTTAAGATGTTTATCAATGAAGCTTTCAAAGACTTCAGAAGAATGTTCACTGATAGAGTAAGAGTGTAAAGAATCATCATTATCTGTAACTGATTCAGTGAAAAGAACATAAGATTGTGAACATGTATAAGAGTGAGATCATATTGAATTCATTATCTTGATATTCATTTATTGAATCCTTGCTAATATCATTCTCTTTTCTTACTTTTTTACAAATGTGATGCATTTTCTGCAAGTCTCTTTTTTAAGTGAGCAGTAGTATTATTAATCATCAAGATCTCAAATACATCAATACTGATAGAATAAGATAATTTTAACTTCTGATGAGTGTATTGAATGAAGCAGTAGTTCAATAATGATTATATTAACAAGGAATCCTGAATTGGCAGCAATTTTGCACAAAACAGGTCTCATAACCTGTGAAAGGTGTAAAGCTTGTGTGATTGAAAGGTTGCTAGCTTGTGGAAAGTTATATGGTGGAAGGATTAGTAAGCCAGATCACGTGACCTGACAAAATACAAGCATCAAACGCTCGCTTACCCTCGCTTTGCTGCTTGCGCAGCCCCCCCTATCACTTTCACCCTCTATCTCTACCCCCCTTATCACCTCTTCCACCCTCTACCCCCTCTACCACCACCACCACCACCACCTCTACCGCCCCGCAGTCCCCTCTACCCTCTCTTATCACCTCTACTCCCCCTTATCATCTCTACCCTCTCTTACCCCCTCTATCACTTCTTTCACCCTCTACTCCCTTTATCATCACCACCGCCTCTACCGCCCCGCAGCCCTTCTATCACTTTCACTCTCTATCTCTACCCCTCTACCCCTCTCTTATCACCCCGATCATCACTATCACTCTTATCACTCTCTTCCACTCTGTATCACCTTCATCATCATTATCAGATTAATCAGAGCTGTACAGGCTGCAGAGTCAGCTGTTCAATCCCATCTGAATTCAAAGAAGTGCACATGACATCACATGAGATCATGTTACAGAGCATTTGGCAAAATGAACATAGAGAAGAGTATAAAGAATATAAATACTGTAGAGAATGTATGAAAGAAGCAGAATGAAAAAAAGAATGAAGATTTGAAGATTGATCTGAGCTGTATGAGTCAGAGCATTCAAATATTTTTGATAGAATGCATATGATATCACATTACAGTGTTTTTTGCATGGAAAAGTTGGTTTTTCTATAATAAATAGAGTATATTAATGAATGTATAGGTTGTAATGAATGTAGAGAAGAGTATAAAGAATGTAAATACAGTAGAGAACATCTGTAAAGAAAAGAATGAAGATTAATATCAGAGCTGTATAGGCTGCAGAGCTGACTGTTCAATCCCATCATATCCATTGGATTTGATGGGGTGCATGTGATATCATGTGAGGTCACGTTACAGGGCATTTTAGTCGGAAAAGTTGGTTTTTCTATAATATATAGAGAGATTTAACTAATTACTTGACTGAGCTTTGCAGTGGTGAGATAATTGAGCATGATAAATAACTATGTGAGCACAGCTGACTTTTGACCGTTCCCAAAGGTATGTGGGACCTGGAGCTAGTTTGTATGTATCTTTCTGCCAAAACTGCGATAATAGCTGCTTACTCTTCTAGAAGAAGAAGATTGAGTTGAAGGAAGTCGGGGATAGACACCCGGCTAACCCGCTGTCAGATAACTACAACAAGACAGCACAGAAGCACCGCTGTTCTGCCAGTCATAGCAGATGTGAATAGAGAAGAATTCCAGCCCTTCTTCCGCAAAGAAATAATAATAATAATAAATGCAAGAGAATCATACGAAATGGCAGTCTTTAAAGCCGGCCAGGGAGCGAGATGGAGCTCCAGCTCGTCGCCTGTGAGCCTGAGAGCCTGTGATTGTCTAAATATAGCCCCCCGCGAGATTGGCATCGTCCAGAAGTGCTAATAATAATATTTTTCTCCTGAGAGGATCGCGACGCCAGCGCTTGGTCACGCTAAGCCCAGCCAGCGTATGAGCTGAGACGCATCCCACGAGCCAAGGAGCAGACTACTGCGACCAGCCCCGCTGGCCCAAGCCGCTCAGCAGTTGCGAACTGCGAACAGCTGCTAGATGCCTCGTCGGATATGACAAGAGGGCAGTGCGGCTTTGGCGGGCATCCTTCCTTGTAAGCCCTCGTATCTATTTAACGTCGCGCTGGCCTTCCTTCTTTAAGGCTTGGATCTCCCCCCCCTCAGCCTCTCTCTCACCCTCCGCCGCGTCGATTTAATACGCCGACATATTTTCTTTTTTTGCTCAGATTTATTATTCTCTCTTTTTCTCTTTTTCTCTTTTTTCCTTCTTCCTCTCCTGTATCATTATTTGCTCAGCGCATTCCCTTTGAGAAAAAAGGAGCCTCTCGTTGGAAAATAAGTTCCGCAACAATAATCGTGGTAACCTCTCTATACCCGTTCTCTACGTTTTTCGTCCAATAAGAGGCATATATATATAGACGGAAGGGTTCCGTGAAAACAAAATGAAGACCACGGGCTTTCTGCTCGCCTCGTGGGCAGCCGTTGCTTCGGCAAAGTTTTTCCAGATCGAAGTGAACACCGCCCCAGACAAGCAAGTCAATCTCGTTGCCCAACTGGATCGGCTTGAGCGAACACACCGTAAGTCAGAAACCTCTGTCCTAATTCCAACGAAGCGCCGCGCAGGGTTCTTGATATATGGAGTCTGCACATCTATTTCTATATATAATATCTATCTACACTACCGTACAGTGCACTAACGCGTACAACCAGGCTCCGTAACTAGCGGACTCGGCGCTTCGGTCGAAGAGCCAGGCGTCTACTGTCAAGCATACTCGGACCCCAATGGCCGTGATGAGCTAGGAGAGCCATTCTGGAGGGGCAAGAGCGTCGTTTTCTCACAGGAGGCGGGTGAAGTTGTGCCCATCGGCTCGTTTATGTGCAAGGACACGGTCGAGAAGTTGAGGGACGATGGTGTAGACGACGATGATGACGACGACGATGACCTCGACCTCGACGATAAGGATAAGGGAGGTGACCTGGACGGTGATCTACAGGACGACGACGACGATGATGATGAATACCTCCAGGGGGACGACGATGGTGATTTCCAAGGGGACGATGGCGATGGTGGTGATACTTTCAAGGGCGACGACGACGACGACGAGTACATCCAGGGGGACGAGGACGATGATGATTTGGAATATGATGGGGCGGACTACGATGATGACGACGATGCCGGAAAGGATGAAGGAGCTGGCCTGAATCGCCTCAAGGGCGATGATGATGATGACGACGATGACGATGATTTCCAGACCGAAGGTAGTGGCGGGGACGAGAGAATTGAGTTGAAGGACGGAGAATACGACGAAGACGGTGATTTGGCCAGCGGCGGCGACGACGATTTTGAAGCTGGTCTGGATGATGGCGACGACGATTTCGACGCTGGCCTAGATGACGGCGACGACGACGATCAAGATGATCCGTTTTTGGACGAGCTAGACAAGAAGGCAAGTGTACAGTTCCGCACCAGCATTTACAATTTCGTACGAGGAGAAGTACAGCTGGGGAAACTTGTGTCAACAAGTGCGCACCTCCTCCCTCACCTCCCCTCCCCTCCCCCGTACACACAGAAATCACACATGGCTCGGAAACCAAGAGCAAGCAGGGGCAAATACGCTAACTAATGTTATCTTTCAACCAACAGAAGATGTAAAGCTCGGATCTGAAGTGGTCGAAGCCGTCGTCACTAGGGCTGAAGGCGTTTCCATTTCCTCTGTTAGCTGCCAACTGTTCGCGGACGCCGAGGGCAAGGAGAAACTGGGCAGCCCTTTCTCGATCTTGGACGTAAGGTTCGGGAGGGATGCCGTGCCGGTGATGGCGATCAAGTGCGATGTCAAGGGGTAAATAATATAATGGTTGCGCAGTTTGTGGAGGAAGGAAGAAAGGGGAGTGCCTGAAGCTGGCATATTTGGATGATAAGACAAATATGGAGGCGGCGGCAGCTAGATGCAAATGTTTTTTTTTTCTTTTCTTTCCTCCTGCTTTTCTTTGTCCAAATCATTATTCCCATTCCTCCTACTTATATATATCCGTTTGGTTATTCCTATCCATTTTTGTTTGCACCTTTTGTGTGTATTGAGGGCCAGCCCCCGTTGTCTACTGGCTTTTCATTTTGTTGTTTTCTCGATAGAGATACGATACCATCCCGTATATACTGCCACCTGTACCACATATTCTCATTATATTTACAAGCCGTTTAAAGCTCATTTATCTATAATAATTATTTCCTCTGACTATCAAATTTTTGTAAATAGTGAACCTTGAAAGAGACAGTATATCTCCATTCCAAACCAAACCGACAACGCAAGAATTCTGCAGCGTCAACTCGTTCCCTCCGCGGCGCAGCAATTATTCATCACACAACACGCCAATGCGCCTGTAGACATCGAAAGGGGGCGGCTTGGACTGTTCACGAGAAAACCACCCCGGGATGAATACGGGGTCGCAATGCAACGCGGGTGCCAGCCCCGAGGTGGTCCCCGTATTTGGTGGGGAGCGAGGGAAAAGGAGAAGGGCTCGGCTTGCCCTTGCATTCGTTTCGAACAGCGGGGCGAGAGAGGGAGAGAGAGAGCATATCATATCCCAGGCCACGGAGAAGATCAATTTGGATCAGGTTGAACGGGTTGAGTCCCAAGATTAAGATTGTGCAGAAGGCAGCGTGGGCAGTGTTCGTTTCTTTGTGGTGGTTCTGCAGCTTGGCCAAACGGCGCAGTCGGCTGGCATCATCCCACTGTACTTAATATTTATGTACGAGAAAACGAGAAAACGAGCCATTAGGTCCCGCTTTTCAATCTTTATTTGTTTTTCTTTTTTTTTTTTTTTTTTTTTTTTTTTTGGCTCACAAGGGTGTCAAATTGCCAACTACACGGTTGTTCGACGACAAATCGCTATGCCTCTTGTTTCTGCACTGAGTGATCAGAGTGACACGTCCACCTGGCATTATCAGCCCTGCAACAACAACAACATGCGGTGGAGTTGTGAGCGATAATGAGAAGAACCCTAAGGGTCAGAGCTTGAGAGAAAGGAGAGAGCTTAGGGCGAGAGTCAGTTGTTCAGAAACTGTCCATGGAGGCGTTCACAACGTCACATGCTGTCATTGAATGGTTGAATATGGCGATGATGAAGACATGCAAAAGAAGCTGCCTCTCCGCATATTATCATTGTCTGGGACCACTTGTCGCAGCATTTTTGCAATGGGTCGACAACTCGCGGGCGGCTGCTATGTAGAAGCCTGGAGACGTTGACATGATCTACTTACCTTAGCTTGTACTGTACACGTACAGTTGCAACACTGTATACATCGCAGTTGGGAGGCTCCCATCAATACACAAATATATATGGTTGACCATGCGCCTACAAGGAAAAAGGGCATCACACTCTACCAGCCCTGTGCTGGTATGCCCTCATCCCGTCTTTACCCAGTCAGTCCATAGACTGCCCAAATACCAATCCCCAAACCTAACCAGCGCAAGCCACTGGGTGCTGCCTTGGGGAAACCATACTGGTGCATCTCCCTCCTGTCACTGTAAGTCACTCGCCCCCTCTCTTCGGCCCCCCGAACCTTTCTGGCGGGTTTCCACTCTCAGAAACGAAGGTAGGTGGTGAGGGTGAGACGCGGCGGTGGAAAGTAGCCCACATATATATTGTGGTAATGTTATTGTAAGGAGCAACATGAGCGACAAGCACGTGCGAGGTATACCAAGATCCTAGGGCGTCAGTGGGGTGGTCCAACATTTGGACGATGCGTCGCAGTTAGAACCGTACTTCATAGCTAACCTGGAGTCAGTATCTCAGCATCAGGTTCCCAAATAACCGCGAAATGAGTCATCTGTGGGTATGGGCGAATCACCCAAACTCCCAAGCTGAAGCAGAAATAAACGCCTTTTACAAGAGAGCTTGATCCCACCAAAATGAACCTCCGTTCTTTAGATAACCGCGGGACTACCGCATTCGGGTGGCACCACCACCACCCCTCTGCCAATGCCGGGCAGCAAAACCACGTCACTGCACTGTAGCTATCGAACTGCGACTTTAGGTTCTTGTGTGTTCTATGCCTATGGAAGTTATTATGACTTAGGGAAACCGCTTCACGGGCGCGCTGTGAGGGGCTGCGTAATCTGTTGACAGCTGCGTTTTGCCTTGAGCGAGAGAATGGAGGAAGGGGTCGGAACCCGGGGGGTTTAAATGAAGAAAACAAAGTCAACATTGAGAAAAGAAAGAGAGGTGACGTGAAATGCGTTCTCACTCGTCTGTCTCTAGCCAACCATCCTGTGCTCCTTTCATGAGGGCTGTTGCAGGGTGCTCAATGAAGTGATTATAGATAGACCTATCAAATTCGGGACATTCAGAGATGGCAGGAATGTTTGTTGACCAAATCACATTAGAAATCCAAATTCCTTAGGGATTGTTTCCTCAGGAACTGTCATACTATATATCCTGCGATCAAGTTATTTAAGCGGCGGACAGGCTGTTGATAATTCAAAGAGGATGGGCTGGCATCATGACATGACAAATCTAAATTAGTTATTTCAATGTGGCAGGCAGAGGTATAAGAACATGCACCATCTCACTTGTACAGAGTATTTCATCAGGGCAATAGTCAATAATTACACATATCCTTGGATTACTTGGTCCCTCTTTGATATCGGGATGTTTATTTAGTTCCAGATTGCTTGGTGAGGCCTGAGTCATCTCCGAAGTTGCAGGCTCTGATTGGCCAATCAGATCCCGTCAACACCCCTCCAGGCTGCTTACATAAAGAGCGGGCACCGTAACGAGTTTAGCGCAACCCTAAGTCGGGGAAACCCAATTGGGAAGCCGCCAATCACAGGCGTGTCTGGCACCTCCTAATCAGGACTAGCATGCGCTAACTGGCGCTAGCCAGCGCTAAACACGGCTCAATCTCTCCGCGGGCCAGCCTCAGCCCAGCGCGACGACATCATCATCAACCGCCGAAGATCAGCATCGACCATCGACTTGCGCTGCCTCAGCCCCCCGCCGTGGCCTTAAAGAACTCAGACCTTCTCTTCTTCACCCTTTCTTCCCTTCTTTTAATTCTCCTTTTTATTCTCTTTTGTTTCGCCTCGTCCGTCTCTTCTTCGCCCCGGGGAAGAGTACCATCCTCCCTCTCGTTTTGCCCAATCCGTTCAACCTTGATCTCCCTCCTATTCGTGCAACGGGAGAGAGATTATAGGCATCAGTGTGCTCGACAAAGACTGTATGAGAGAGAGAGATCTGAATCTGGTGCCACTCTCTCCAGCGCAATCCCTCCAAGGTTGCCCTTCTATCTATAGAAGCAGGTAACACCTTTCCCTACGCGCATTTCTCAGCGTCTGGTGGATTACTTCTAGATACATTATTCCTGAGATATCTCTCCTGTATATTCATCCGCCTCACAACTTCCAGCCCTTTTTCTTGTATTCCTAGGGCAGATATACATACATACACATCTATACGTTCTTAACTCTTCCACATTCTTTGCGTAATGACCACCTCCTTCCACTATCAATCCCCTCGTGTCGAGGAGGACACTGAGTTTCTGGACCTAAACCTCCCCAATGTTGCTTTTGATGACTTCTCTTGCATGCCCCAATTTGATACCTACCCCACAGCCGACTGCGAGTCGATTGATCTCTCTAAACTCGATCATTTTCCCTTGGATAGTTCGCTCTGGGACAATTTCAACCCAGACTTGTTTGCCTCTAGCGAGCCTTCCATCCCTCTATCTACTTCGGCCTTGAACGACATCTGTTCCACCGACTTCAATTCCCTCCCTGACCCGTCCTCCATTTGGTTTGATACTCTGCAAATGGGTCATGCCTCGCCCAACTTGTTCTCTCCTGATTCCACTTTTCCTGAATCCGCTCTACCCTCCCCCGATTTAGATGACTCCACCCAGCGCTTGAACTGGGTTAAATCCACGCTCAAGGATCTTGCCTTGGCCAGAGCAGCCAAGGATACTCGACCTGTATCGCAGAGGACGAAGCAGATAGATGCTTCAATTGAGTTGTACCTGCAACTTCAAAACGATATTAGCTCTGGATTCCTGGAAGACTGCAATCCCTCTGCCCAGTCAATGGTCTGGCAACATAGCTCGACCACCCTAAGCGATTCGTCATTCGATACTAACTCCTTCTCCGTGACTGGATCCCCCGGTTCATCAACTGGCACTGTCCCGGAACTCTCCCCCGCGTTTATGACAAGGGCTGGGTCAGCATCCGCCGGACCTTCAAGAACTACACTACCACCTGCAACTGGTGGAGTCGAGATGGTCCTGGACATGAATCTGAACGAAACCACATCTCTGCCGAGGAAGCATCGCCCAAAGACCCACGAAGAGCGCCAGAGATATATCGCTGTCCGTAGACAGGGTGCTTGTGAATGGCACCGCAAGCAACGCAAGCGGGTATGTTCTGTTCCACTTTGTCTTCAATCGTACTTTCCCCTATAATATTTTGGACTAACGCCTCAATTTTTAGTGCACATGTGTCGACAAAACGGAATCCGCCATCACCACCGTCAAGCGAAAGAAGCTGATGAAGCATGTCCAAAACCCTTCACCGCATTGTTCAGGCGCTATCCTACCGCTTTCGAGCGGAGATCGCTGGCGTCGCACCAATGTCCGGCCATCAAGCGGGCCGCTGGAATCCTCGTCCCCACTAGACGGGTGCCCCGTTCCCAAGATCACCTGGCAATGCCACGGAGAACGAGACCGGCCATTCGACGATCCACAATGCCTCGGATGTTGTGGATCGGAGGAACCCACGACGCCACCTCTTATAATTATGGCCAAAGCCAGGTCTATGCGCCAGGTTCACAAACCGATTATCAATCGTGGAACACTGCAATTGATTGAGAGGCAATCACCGATCGGGTCAACGGACTGCGACCCGAGACATGTCCTTCAATCGCATCCGCCAAACCTGCTGCAGACAAGGACAGAAACTCAGGCCCCGATTCCATCGCGTCCACAGAATGCAGTTGGTTTGCCTGGGTCTTTCGGGCCAGTACAGGATCTGCATATTCATATAATTGCAAGTCCTGGACAGCCTTCCTCGTCCTTCAATCCACATCTCTCCGGCGGCATCGCGGGAGATACTCCAATTTGGCCTATGCTAGAGCATTCTGGAGGGAGAATCCCTGACCACAGGCGCGTCGACGCAGCCGTCTCTGCTCCTGCGTGGGCTGGAGACAGACCGAGGAATTCACGTCTGAATGTGGTACCGGAGCCACCAACAATACGTGGAGACGTTGAGTCCGTCTACAGAGATGGCCAGAGTAGGGCTACAAACCGCGCCCAAACCGATGATTCTTCAATGGCCATAGCGTCTCTACGCGTCGTTCGTCTAATATTGAGAACGATATTAAGGCTAGCTACGCGATCTTCATCTCTATTTATCCCTTGTTCCAAATCCAGGCAACCATTCCATTCAATTAGAAAAACGGGGATGCCACATGCCGTTCGAAACAGATCAACTTCCCATTCTGAATGGCGAGAACCGAGCACCACCATGTCGGTACTATTACTAGCATGGGGATGCTTATTTGTCTCCCCAATCATGTCAATCGTTGCCTTTATCCTCTTACCTCATGTTACCCGAAACCTCTCGAAATCGAACCAGCTATCCAGGGCGGCCGAAATTAATCGCATTTGCCACCAACGTGTGCAAGGCGATCTAAGCCCTACCAGGGAGCAGTGCGGGGCGAAAATTCCAGCCACTCCTACCTCGATAGTCGGCAAACAAGCAACAGTGACAAACGATAGGGAACACCTCATTTCCAGACTAGGACGCCACATAGAAGCCCAGCAGAGCAACAGCCCACTAAGCAGGAATATGCCATCCAATTTCGATACGATAGCCCGAATAGGGAGATCAACAAAGAACGTACGAAACAACAGGGCACACGCCTCTGAGAACAGCGCAGTTGCTTGTCCTGACGCCCTCATGGCCCTATCCCTCGCAAGAACGCAGTTCCGCTCTCATCACGATTACCCAGCACCGATAGAGCCCAATTCAGCTACCTCAAGCAGGAGCCAACAGTCAGAAAAACGGTAATTTTGTTCGGGCTTCGAAGTCAACATGTGGTATGTTAGCAGCTGCGACGGAACCAGGAAGCACAAGCCCGAGGGTGGCGGTTGCTTTTGCTGAATATTTTGATATTCCGTGTGCATCTCTTTTCACCCCTTCAGATGCCGGACAAAAACAGAACGACATGACATCGCAGCCTCTTCGTCCCTCTTACGTCCATGTTTACTTATTAAGTTACTCCCCCCGTCATCATTTCCCCCAGCGCCTTCAACGGGGTAACTATCCGCTTTCCGGCCTTTCAGTTTTTGTATTTTGTCGTCTTATTACTTACTCTATATACCCCTCATTTATTTAACATTTCGGTTGCTTCTTGGATTTAGCACCATCTTCCTCTCGCACCTTAGCTAACATGTCACGAATTTCCCCTCCTCTGTCTCCTCACTGAGGCGAATTGATATTCCCAATGGTCCACTTATTCTTTTTTTTTCCCCGCTTTTTACCCGTCCAATCCAAGAGGGCCTAGGATTAAATATAAGAAGCAGTGTGGGAGTAAACAACACAATGAATACTAAACGAAGGGGTAAAATACGATTAGGTTGGACAGATCGACAAGCCTTGTTTTGAGATTGGTTATATTCTTGATACGGGCAGTGTAAATTTTATATGCTATTCTAGAGATGAATTAGTATTAGAGATATCTATTGCTTCTTCGTTCGCTTTACATCATAGTACAGCAAGTTTCCATGGGGGATTGCGGATAACGAAATTGAGAACAATCTCAAGTTGTAATTATGTATGACCAGAGTTAGAAATAATAAGAAGTGGTACGGATGTCGGCTGTTTATACGACCTACTCCAGCTGGAGATCTTGATAATCAGGTAGTTTCTAGCTTCTAGGTCATAGTTATTAGAGTAAGGAGAATAATTAGTTAGCCTTTATAAAATAAAAATAACAAAATAGTAATAAAAAGGGAGGTGCTCATTTGGCACCTATCCTCCCTGTAAATAAAGGTCGCGAAAATAAAAAAAATATAGATGTCGTATAGAAAAGAAATGACATAGGAGCAACCCCATCCGCAAGCGACTCACGAGTCGAGTTTACTACCGGTGTCGTCTACGGCGCCGTCGGCGGTTCTCATGCTCGTAGTGGCGCCTGTGGGATACTATATGAGTACCCGGCTGAACCGTGAACTCCCCCGCACTTACAGGCTGGTTCGTGCTGTCAGCGCTGCTCCCGTTATTGTTATTGTTGTTGTTGTTGCCATTGCCATCACCACACTCCGCGTTATCGTCATCTATGCGCTGCTGTCCCAGCACTCGGGGTAGTTTCTGTTTAAAGGATTCATGGACATGCTTGGTAGCCTGCACGGCGCCGACCATGCCACTCACCCCTGAACCCATAAGGACAAAGGGGGCGAGGATCGGGGCTGCCAGGGAGGTTGCCCAGAGGGTTATCCCGATCCACCCTGCGGTGGAGGCGGCAAATGTGGTCGCTGCCGCAGCGTCTTGACCGTTACTCGGCGGCTGATATATGTTCCCGACATCTTTCAGGTCAAGAGAGTAGGCGTGGGTGTCGTTTAGGGTCGGTAGGTTAAACCAGACGTACTCCTTGGAGTCGTGCTTTAGGCCCTGGACAGTAAGCGGGAATAGCTTGTCTGGGAAAATCAGCGGATCCTTGATGAGCATAGGTCGATAGGCGGGGATGATGAGATGGAACCGCGCTCTTCTGTTGTCGTCTCTGTCAAGATGCTGTCTCAGGAAGATCATCCACAGGCAGAGGGCGTCCAGGTTTTCGGATACGCCCAGGAGGTTCGGAGGGAGCGGGTTTTGAGAAACGATGTCGAAGAAGTACCCGTGCCAGTCGGTGTCTGGGTGGTACAGGAAGTAGAAATGCGGGACACCATCTTCGTGAAGCAACGAGGTTTGATGCCTGATAACTTTATAGACCTGCTTTGCGAAGGTTTTGGGAGCTTTCAACCCCGTCTGTGCCTGCAGCTCACGATGGATGTCACGGCCGATCTCCTCAAGAGCAGACCGTCCCTGAAGAACCTCAACGAACTGAGCGACGACTCGCAGCCCGTCAAGGAATGCCGAAAACAGATCGAACGCGTTTTTGCGCTTGAAGAAGACGGCCAGAGATTGTGCGCATGTTTGAATGCTGGGGATGCCTTGCCTGACTGCGTCTCCGGTTTTCCGCATTTCGTCCCGGTATACTCTCCCATTCCTCTCGCTGTTATACCCTTCCCATATATCTTTAACCCCTGCGGTTAGATCAACCAGGTTTGGAATACCGGGTATCAGGGACCATGCTTGGTTTGGATCGCTGCCCCCGGGTTTGTGACGCCTTCCGGACGCTTTTCTCTTCCCCTTGGCGGCAGCGAAGAACTCGCCCAAACCCACCATATTATTTTGACTGGTGTTGATATATGGGTAGACCAGGGATATATAGCTGCTATGTTCCCATGGAAGCTATCGAATCTGGTGGAGAGAGACTACCTGGGGCAACTCAGTAGTTAGTTTCGAAGGGGGATTCAACTAAATAATATGATATTGAATCTCTGGACTAAAGATATACATCAAACAAATATAGCCTGGACTTCATACCTGGGAATATAGAAATGTGAATATACACCGCCCAGCGTTACTATTCTGACTCAACGGCGGCCCGCGCTCGGTCAAATATTGGGTGCGGAAGAATATAGAAAACAAGGAGACGAAAGTCGATATAACGAGCAGAATACAAAAACACATGAAACGTGCCCTCTAATCTAACATAGTGCATTACTCCAGTCGGTCCCAGCAGCCAGTGCGAGGCCACCAATCCGCGGCGATTGTTGTCTCTCTGATATCCAATTGGCACCACGTATATTTTCACATACATGTTCCTCTTTCTCTGTGATAAAATCAAGGATGACCTTCTCTGAAAAGGAAAGCAGAAAATTAAGCCTCGCAGATTAGAATGGTTATGTTATAACCAGCCTTGAATTCAGAGGAGACGAACGTGCAAACCATGATAAGCAGACGACACAGTATGCCATGATATCCACATCTGCAAAAACGGTACGCTTTGGAAGCAGATAACCAGTATTTATGCTCTGTGTAGTAGCGTCCCCATGACGGAAAGTTACATGCGACTGTCTGGGGATGGTTCGATGCGAGATGCAGGTTTGCGCAGGCTGCTTGCTACCTTTAAGATATACTTGTTTCGAGAGCCGAAGAAAGCGAATATAAAAGCTTGCTAATAGTAAAATTGAAGGCCGAATGAAGTATTATAAGCTGCTTTTCAGAAGTTGATGTTTGAATGTCAGAATGACTCTTTAGCACAGTCGTGTTTTCTGTGCGGTCAGAGTGAAGCTAGGATTAGGGTCCATCGAGGGGAGGAATCCGAGAATATAAAGAATATAAATATCATTACTATGAGCGAGACTGGTGATACAAGATGGTTATGTCGAGTTGAGTGTGGGCTATGGTTTGCGTTAAAGTAGTAGTAACCTTCTACAAAACTGCCAAAAATAAATAAATAAATAATATATATATATATATATATCTTTTATATTACGATTATGTCGATCTATCACAAGCCGCAATGGGCTGCAAAACCACCACTACGAGACCCCAATGGATAAAACCAACTGGGTACAGGCAGGTTCACTCTGCTGGTCTGTATGAAACAACCTTGCCAAAAGTGTCTGCCATACCCCAGATCCCACGTCGCAGACACGACAACTGCACGATTTGCGAATGGTCGACGAAGACGTTCACATCGATCCCAAACTCACGGATATACCAATTGAACACGCGGGGGTCGGCAGCTATTTTGTTTGCCCCCAAAAAACCCCCGTCAGCCCGTATGCTAAGAGCAAGCTCATGATATGCGGGCTTTCAAAACTTATAAACGAAGAGTCAGAACTCTGGGATTGCATACCTTCAAACATAACCTGCTCCGGTGGTAATTCCTTCATGATCTGTGAAACCACATCCGTTCGCCAGGACCTGACGTTCTCTGTGATGCCCTCGCTCTCAATCATTAGCCGCTCGACTCCAGCGTCGAGGAATCGTCTGCCTAAATTGATCAATTTTCCAGGATCGTTGGTGCCGAATGCTTCAAGCTCAGCGACAGAAGTATCTGATTTCAATATGTCAGTTTTGAGTCTGTCTCGAAATTTATTGAGGTAAATATGACAGGGGACAATGAACACACATACCTCCGCCAGCCCCAAACTGGATGCCTAGCTCCGGCTTTGCCTTGAGACCATACGAGTGGACTTTATCCACCAGCCGGAGCCAATCGTCTGCAGGAATCGAGAGGAATCCAGAAGAAATCTCGACAACATCAAACCTATTTCACGGAAATTGTCAGGTCACCATCCCGAATTGAAACGGGCGGATTACTCTCCGATTCATTTTAGAGTGAATATTCTTCAAGACCAACCCCAGATCTTTGCATTTTTGCAGATATTTTTCCATTACAGAAGGCGCATCGTGGTGTGTGAGGAGGTGCTCCGCCCAGCCGCCCTACCAACTTGATTGTTAGCATCCTGTGCTGCGATGATGCTTAGAATGATGACACAAACCGTGGAGACGTAAACACCATGCTCATGAGCAAGGTCGATCAATTCCCTCAGTTTCTTCTCTTCAAAGAGCGAAAAGGAGCCTACCAATAATTCAAAAAGTCTCCTGTCAGTTATCAAAACACAGTGCCTTTTGAAGTAGAACTACTTGGAAGTCCGTAGTTATTAATTAACCTCCTGAAAATTTCAGCCCGTCCACATAGTAACCCATCCTATTCAAGAGGTAGTGTCAGATCAGTTCAAGCCAACCTAACCGAATATAATAGTGAAACTGATACCCACGTCTCAAGAACATCCGCCAGGTATCTTTTCCCCATCACCTACATGACCACGAGCGTCAGCATTCGACTTGTTCAACCCAGCAATTACCCTCTCATAGTTGTCCTCATGAAATGAACAATGGCAGAAGAGCGAGGAAAAGAGAAAAAGAAAAAGAAAAGCGAACATACCGAATAATACGGCCCTCTAATCTCCGTGACACCCCGCTTCCTCGGCTTTGCAGGAATTGGATTTGACCTCGCGAATCCAAGCCCATGTTGCTTGTCCTGCAAAAGCGTTTTGACTTTAGATTCCTTCTTAGCTAGCGCTGAAGCGGAGAAGTTCCTAGTGATATCATTATTATTTCCCTCCGATCTCACTCCGCAGAAGAAGGGTCGCGGGGCGGTTGTTCTTGGGATGCTTTGTGCTGGCACGACGAGGCGGGATAGCACGTTGCAAGGAATAGGGACGCCAGATCGAGTTATTGGGATCATTTTGATGATTGAAATTCAGATCTTAACTGTTACTAAACCAAATAAAAAATAAAAAAAAAATAACTAGGGCATCAGGATTAGCTATTTACATGTAGAGAAGAGATATAGATAGCTCCTTATATTTATCTCAGCAGGAATGGACGACTTTGTTAACATGTACAGCAATTCTGACGACACCTTGATGTAAGAAGAGACCAGGGATCTGAACCTCGACAAACAAACCTTTTCGCTGGGAAGCTCGTTTTACCTAGAAGAAGTCTGTGGGCGAAGTAGAACTTGCGAGCTTGAGCTTCGATTGAGTGGATGTTTTGTGTATGATGTCATAGGGGGGTTGATGTCATACCCAGAGAAAAAACCAGGGAGGTCAAGAACTATAATATATGCATATTTAAGAATTAGTTATTCTTGGTATTTCATTCAACACAGACACGCTTCTTCAAAAAGGTTATGCGAAAAACAGCGCCTAAGATTTATCAGGCAACATTCAAATAAATAGGCAGAGAAAAAATTCGATTCCATCGATTCCATCCTATTGCCCGTTACGATTCCGCTGTGCTTCAATATAAACAGCTCAACCCTCATCTCGACATCCGAACACATCACACAACAATGGCGCAAAACACATACCACCCGCCACCATTCCAAAGCGACCTTTCAGTGGGGCAAGAAACAGGCACCTTCAATCAACGATCCGAACAGTCCCACACAGCCGACGCCGCGACCCAACACCCACCCACGGATTCTCCTAACAAGGGCACAACAGCGGGCACAACAGCGAGAACAACAGCGGGTACAAGAGCGGGGACAACAACCGGATCAGGTCTAGGCCACGGCATCAAATCAGCCGTTGCGGGTGTTCACGTAAGTGTCAAGAACTAAAATGATGATAAATAGAGTGTAATTATTTGTTTAGCCGACCTTTGCTAATGAAACGAAAACTATAGGGACTCGGCGAAAACATTCGTGGAAACGTGAATGCAGCTGTTGACCGCGCGATGAAGGATCCAGAGGGCGTGCGGAAGAATGAGACGATCGCGATAGAAGGGGAGCGGGAGGTTGAGACCGGTGAGTTTAGTCGGGCGACTAAGGCGAGAGAGAGCGGACATGAGTATGACACGCTGTGATTCTGGGGTATATTTTCGTTTTTATTTCCTTTCGATGGCCGGTTGAGAGTTCAAATTGTATGTCACTTTAGTTCATGACTGTATGATCAATTTGCATTTTGAGTAATTTCAAAAAATAAATAAATAAAATAAAACAAACAGGCAGCCTCGTGGCATCTTCCTTGCGATGATCTTTCTCTCTGGAGTATAAATATTCGACTGAAAGTTGTATGGGATCTGGCATCAAGCTGAGCCAAACCGCATCGCACGGAGATCTGAAACATCCTGAAGAATGTGCGCACTATTGTTCATCCTCATATGTGCAGATTGCTACCTAGGGTACGTCACTCGCACCGCTCGAAATAACGTGACAGATTTCATGAATATGATCGAGGCATTGCCAATTCAGCATGAGAATGGCCGAGTCTCGATATATACCGGGCAATTTGACGAAGAGTGTCAATAGACTTGTAAATGAATACGCATCATCTCCCCCGATATAGAAATGAGATGGTGTTTGGCAGGAATGCTCTGTAGGGTCCTGTGCATAGCATTTCCTCAAAACGAGGACCCCGGGCTCTGAATCAATCAAGTTAAAAGAGTATATACACTCACCACGGTCGGATACCCTCATCTGATGCTCATTCTCGCTGCTCACCTAGGCAAAGTAATTGTAAGCATGGGTGTGCCTCCCCATCGGATGTGAGCCATTCTGGTCGTACAAGTTGACATTCGGAGCCTAGATGTTGATTCCAGAACTTGACAACACCACAGGGTTGCCTACAAGGGAGGTCTAGCAAAACAAGGTTACCTACGCAGCCACATACTCCAAACATGGAAGAGTTTCATATTTGAGATGCAGTCGCATGTCCTACCTCCTCAGAGGGGTGAGATCCTCCACGGGAAGAGAGCTGAGCCAGTTGAGGATTGATTGTTAGGTGACGACTAATGCAGCTCAACGACACTGCATGGTTTGGGGAGTTGAATTGGTCTTCTCTTCATTGTCATTGTCATTGTCATTGTCATTGTAACTTAATTGTCATTGTCATTGGCATCTCGACAGTTCGTATGAGGAAGAGGTTGGAAGGAGGTTCGAAAAAGAGGGGAGCTCTGATTGGCTAGTCTTGGTGTTATATTATGCTTAGTCATATTTTGTTTCAGCCAATAAGATCCCGTCATCATCGCTGGCCTCAAATTGTCCCAATCAGGCAATTCCATCTGCTCCAGAAGATCATTCGCAGTTAATCGACTCCTCTCCCTTCATTCTTCTGCTTTGCTACTAATTCTATTATACGGAACACGGTCTGGAAGACAGTCCTGCCAATGTCCAACCCTTGACGTGATGTCAACCCGCCTACTTGGACACTGAATCCCCTAGTAATAAGAATCCACTATGCGATGGTGCCGGCGCTCGTCACCATCCCTAATCTTGACAGCCTCAACCCACCCCAAGGCCCCGCCAACCAAGACATCCCCTACAAGCACGGGCCTAAGGGAGCAAGCACGCCGTTGTGGCTGCGGTTGCGGGTAACCCGATAACGTCGCCCGTCGTGCCGCATATATGTTGCGCTTTCTGAAAGCGTACTGGCAACAACCCGGCGAAGAACGACGGGGAGAAGCGTTAAGGAGAAGGTGGGAGAGTTACTGTCGCGTTGACGTTGTGATGTGAGTTCTTGAAGCTCCAGATTTCTACTTGAGAATGCTATCATTTTTGAGGGTCCACCAGGGTTCTCCGTCCCGGCCACTATCGGGATATACTGATCCATGGATAGTCTGGCTAGCCATTGCTTACGACAACGGTTAACTAGTTATTAATGCACTGACTGACTAAACCTTCCACGCCCAGCCCCTTCCTTCTCGCCGTTACCGTGGTGTTCGCCCTCTTCGCCGCCATGAGCGAATCACTAGCTCTCTCACATCTCGAATATACCACCGTGACGGGATACTTCCTTCAAGATGATCCCACAACAGATCCGGCAGATTTTGACTATGTATGTTCGGCATCTGCTACCCTCAGAGTGGAATCCGAAAGGAGAGGGGGGGCCTTGCGTAGCTAATAAAACATAGTCAGCAAGTGCATTCGGCCTCATAATCCAAAATTATGACACAGATAAGGATTTCGATCCAAACTATGAGAAGACGCAATGGGAGCGTTTCGCCTACAAACTCCAGTCTCTAAACGACCACGCAGACAAGCATACGGAATTCAAACTCTTCTACATGGGCCGGCATGGCGAGGGTTACCATAACGTTGCAGAGGAACTTTACGGAACTGAGGCGTGGGATGTATGTGCATGTACCCTTAACATCGACAACACTCTCAAACTAATCGCCCTTCTAGTGCTACTGGTCCAAACTCGACGGCAACGGCAGCATAACCTGGTCTGACGCTCGACTGACAGAAACCGGCATCACCCAGGCCCTTCATGCCCGCGCCACATGGGCCGCCCAGATACAAGACCACATACCCCTTCCACAGTCATACTACACCAGCCCCCTGGATCGATGCCTGCAAACAGCAAAATTAACATTTAACAACCTACCACTCCCGCCAGACAGGCCATTCAAACCAGTTGTGAAAGAGGTATGCATTACTCCCCCAACATCGCACTCTGCAAAAAGCAAAGAAAGAAAGAAAACACAAAAGCTAACCAACCGCACACACACGCGCCTCCCCAACAGCTCCTCCGCGAAACCCTAGGAGTGCACACCTGCGACCGCCGCTCTCCAACAACCCATATAACAAAAACCTATCCCACCTACACCCTCGAACCCAACTTCGCCCCCACCGACCCCCTCTGGGACCCAAACCTGCGCGAGTCCAACTCGGCTCGCACCGCCCGCCTCCGACAGCTCCTAAACGACATCGTCGAGCACAACAGCGGCCCGAGCAGCACGTATATTTCGCTAACGGCGCACTCGGGGGCGATTACGTCGTTGCTGGAGGTTGTAGGGCATAGGGCGTTTAGGCTGGAGACGGGGGGAGTGATTCCGGTGCTTGTGAGGATTGTGAGGAGGGAGGGGTCGCGGGGAGGCGAGGTTGTTGAGCCGTCGGGGAAGGCGCCGGAGTGCAGAGAGGGTTTGGTGGCAGGGGAGGGGGAGGAGGGTGGGCGGACGGAGTTGAGGAATTGAGGGTCGTTTATGACATATTTTTTCCCCTTTTTTCTGCCGGTTGAGAGTGGTGATTGATTGGCTGGCTGGCTGATTTATCCATTTATTTGAGATTATATGTAATGGAACGGGATGGAAACGAGATGGGATGGTTTGTCGTCGAGTTTTCTATAATTTTGAGATACCCCCTTTCCACCGTCCGTCTTCATTTTACGTTATTCGGTCTTCACTTTTCTAGTCTCCCGAACCAAGACCGAGGGAGGTGTATAACACGATCAATCATATACAGAAACAAATCATAAAATAGAGATTATACTACATTCCATATTCCCCGCACATGAATATATATCTTCATTGGGCTTCCTGTTCATTATCAACCACACACGCACACCACGGAGCGTAAGATTACTGAGCAATAGAGAATCGAGGAAATCGGGGTATTTTATTGGCCGCGAACTGCGTGCACGTTAGGAAGAATGGCATAGAATGATCATCTGGAACGGAACAAGGCGCTGAACACGGTGAATTTGAAACCCTTTTTCATGCCGGGGTGGGACATCGGAACACCCAATTCGAAAAAAAAAAAAAAAAAAAAAAAAAGGAGAATTGGGGGGGGTGGGGTTGGGTTGGGTTTAATAATTATGGACGTACTACGATGACAACCACCACGGCTCAGCTCAGGTGAGCAGGCCCGGAGAAAAGCATAAAAACAAAAGATATTACGGAACTGGGGACTGGACTCCTGGGAGGCAGAATAGAGAAAAGAGATAGACCAATTCAGAACCACCAAACCAAACCAAACAGGTCAAATCAGGCAAATCAATCAGACAAGCAAAAAGGAAGCAAAGCGCGCGGTTTATTGGTCTCAATAAATATGTGAAATTGAACGGAGTTAAGTGAGGAGAGGAGAAGTGCTAGATCTTCCTCCCCTGCCACCGCTTCTTCTGGCCCTACAGATATATGGGTATTTCTTTCAAACCAGAGCGCCGCGGTGAAAAGCAATATCGAGAGCATGATTGTGGATAATTTCACGTAATTTGTATTAAAGTAAAAAAAAAAAAGAAGAGGGCTATGAGCAGCCAGCTCAGCTATTAGGTTGCTCAGCGATTAATTCGTAGCCGCCCTCGGAGGGCAAGACGCGAGCGGCGAAGATGATGGTCGCAGCAGCGAGGAGGGCCAGACACCAGCTGACGGTACACATGATGAAGGAGTCGTCGAGGCGGAAGCCAAGGTAGAAGTGATCGTCGTTGTCGTTGAGGTAAGACTGTATATACGTAGAGTATGCAGGTTAGTTATATGATACAGTGAAGCAGCGGGTTATAACCGTTAACCGTTAAGGTACTTTCTACAAATATCCCGAATGAAGGCAAATAGGGGTTCCTGAAGAATTAAAAGAAAAGAAAAGAAAAGAAAGAAAAGAAAAGTATAGAACCTACCACCAACCCCATACTGGCGCACTGCACCAGGGCAACCAAAAGCAATAACATGGAAAGAATCCGCCATCCAGACTCGCGCATCTGCTTGCCGCCGGCCAAGATGATAATATAGGTAATCAATGTCATGCCCTCGAGCACGACGGCGAAGGACATGAGGAACCCGACGGAGCGCCACATGGAGCAGAACTGGCGGTCGTCGCCGGTGCAGTCATCGAATTGCGGGAAGCGCACGCAGGTCGTGGTCGTCGTTGTCGTGTTGGGGGTGGTAGTGGAGAAACAGCGATAGTGGAGGCCGTAGGAGACGCCGGCAGACTGCATAGGGAGAGTCAAATGAGTATTTTTATTTTTCATCTTTTTTTCACTTTTGTAGCGACAGGGGAAACAAAAGGGCCAGCCGTACCGTTCCTCTCTGAGAGCTGATCCATCGCGGCAGGACTATTGACGCCAGCGTCAGGGCGAATGCTGTGATGGTTGTTCTTGTTAGTCTGATATCCAAAAAGGAAAAAACACAGCGAGTGAAGAGTAGGCATGAGCAAAATACATACTGGTCAAAAACACAAGCAGCGTCGCAGCATATACGATGGTCTTGGTCACGAAGCCCGTATAGTTCCGCCGCCCGCCGCCAGGCACGAGATGGACGTCCATCATTCGAACAACAACAGCAGCAGCGGTAACAACCACAAACACACAGTGATATTTCTATCAAAGACTATCCCCTCCCCCACGGAGCTTTGACAGTATCAAACGCTGAAAGAGCAAGCTAGAGTATAGACTAAGAGGGCCGCCAGCCAACCGGTCGGACAACCCTTTTTTATGAAGGGAGGAGAAGGAGGAGCCGCATTCGAGAGGATACGGAGAGACGCGCGAGGGAGATGCGACAAGCTGCAGCCCGCTTATTGCAGGTCTGCAGGTCACAAGTCAGGACTGACTGCGTGTAGGAGAAGCGGTGGAGAAGCGGTGGAGCAACGGTTTTGATATTCAGAGAGATACGGGGTGTGGTTGATGAGGGGTTGGCTATAGATGGAGGCTAGCCAAGGTGGTGTTGGTGGTTGGGGGTTGCGAAGAAAACGGGGAGAGATTCCGGGTTCTGTGGACAGGTCAGATGGACATTCGGAGATCGATGATTGATGATGAGGATGTCGTTGGGCGAACTTATTTAGCGGAGGGGGGTTTAGTGCAGCTGGAGGTTGGTTGGATGGATCTCGCAGGGAGGAGATATCGTATTTTATTCATTTCCTTGAGAAGTTTCCGGCCGGGATGACGCTTGCTGGGAGGGAGGTTGATGAGGCTGCTTGCGGTCTGTGCCGGGGGGGGCGTGATGTAGCAGTACCTGGGCCAACGCCATTGTCACCGTCTCGAGGAAGTATTTGGTACATGACAACAGCGTGTCCAATCAGGGCGAGCCAAGCCTCTCGACTTTGGCGACAGACTCATCCTATATATAACTATCCTGACAACCAAAGAAAAAAAAAAAAAAAAAAGGGAAGGTTGGTAGTAACAATATCTTGCCTCCTCTAGACAGCAGTTATCAACCTGGCGTCTGAAGGTCCAGAGACAACATTTGACACGAGGTGGTTCTGGGGCAGATATCACATCCCAAAATCATCGCGGGTGGGAAATTCCCGACAGCGGCGGGACGTGAATATCCGTCTAGCAAGCTTTTCAGAGGGTGTTACGTCTTATTTTTAGAGAAAGCGGTAACTACACCCGTCCTTTTCTATTCCCAAATCTCATAAGCAAGTCACTTCAATGGGAATCCCTAGCATAGAGCTCAGCACATTTGGACCTAGAGGCGAGAGCCATTGCGCATTTTTACCCGGCTTGTTCTTCTATCTGTATGCATACAGTCAGGGTCAGGAGACGCAGCAGTGTAGTGTGGTGATTGCTTATCTCTCACCCCGCGCAATTTTACCCCCAGGTGTATATGCGTATCAGAGAATCTCTGCGCCGATATCCGTCACCTACTTGAGGATATCCTTCATAATGCCCTTTTATGATACCGTTGCTCCGTGCCTGGATGGGATCAGGGCGCATATATTGACACCCACTCCCAGCCCAACCAATCTCAAACAGTGAAACTTGCTGATTCCCCTGGCCATGAAGAGCCCATGTTCCACACCAGGAAATGTTCTGGGGTGAATACATTCTTTTCTGCCCTGTGTGTTTGTGTTCGACCCCATCTACACCCAGGCAAGCCCATACATAATAACATGATGCCCGCCCGCCCGCGCAGCCGCATTCCTTTTCATGGCTTCCCTTGGGTCAATCAACATCCAGGATACACCTGTCCACCAGGTCCAAGATGAATGAGACCAGGCAGACCCGGCCCCGAGTCCGGCTCGGCAGCATGTAAGCTCCCTTCAGGTCCTCGCCATTCACAACAGGGCTGGCGTGAAAACGATGATGCTGAGAAGATAGCTGAGTTTTCTGGTGGTGATTTTCATGCTGCTATCTGCTGGAAAATGAATGGGCTCCATATGGCTGTATGGGGTGTCAGGGTGCTGGGAATAGTGTGAAAGACACCACCAGCACCTCGCTGCTGGTCTTGCTGCTGGTCTTGCTGCTGGTCTTGCTGCTGGTCTTGCTGGCCATTAAGATTTCAGGGTATTGGATAGGCGCTCGACAGCACCTCATATTGTGAATGCCTAACATTGATGAGGTCTTCTTCGATTTCGAATGAATTTTACAGTCGAGGAGGGGGAGGATGTGCTATTCATATCCCTACCAACCTGCTGCTAACTTTGTGCCCGCCGTTAATTGGCGATAACTTGGACCACTGCAAGTTTTGTCCCTAACAGAGTGAATCAATGTAGATCATTTATGCGGGAAACAAAATCGTGATCCATGCATATGCGCTATACTGAAATGAAAGCAAAAACATGAGGCTGATTATGTATCATGCTATAGTCAACGAAATCTCCTCTTCTCCTAATATATCCCCCTATCCTTCTAGTCTCACTCCTCCATTCTGAAACTTCTTTCACGGCAACCACATGTACACTTTGACCTAATCACAGTGCTTGATTGGTTCTTTCTCAGAAGATCAATATTTAAAGAGAACCCTCCTGGAGTGATTAAAGTCAGTCAGCCTCCACCCACCACTTACATCCAGCACGCAAGACGGAACCATGAAAAGGTGAAGACAATTTTTATTACTTTTTCGTTTATCCATAGACTGCTTACCACCTCAACCAGCTCTCTCCCAAAATCCCCAGCCAGCCCCATATATCTCTGAACCGATAAATGATAAATAGCATCTCTTTTTGATCATGAGTCAGTGACCGACCACGATCACCACCACCACCAGCAGCAGCAGCAGCAGCCCTTGCTTTTACATGTATCAAGGAGCCTCCCTATCTATATACCCCAGCCAGCCAATAGCTATCTGACATTTCCCAGGAGAATCGTTCAGCGGATTGATTTGGTGTAGGAAACAGATGTTGTCCATTTGACCGACAGCGGCAAGGGGCATATATATAAATATATATGCCTTCCCCTCCCCTATACAGTTTTAGGAGCTTCGCACGAGTCGGGGAAGAGAAAAAAAAGAAAAGAAAAGGAACTCTCTCCTCAAAACTCCGCGTGGATGCTCGCATGAGTCGATTTACATGCAATGGTTGAACAGATTCAAAAAAGAAAAAAAAAAAAAAAAAAAAAAAAAAAAGCACAGACGAAGTTATCATCACCGTGCAAATACATACATGAGACACTGCAGCACAGCACACACTGGTAGCAGCTGGAATATATTTGATAGAGGGGAGTAAGTAGCGTGCCATTTCAGCGCGAGTCCCTTGGAAAACAGAAGAAGGGATTGACCCAGCAAACGCACTCCTGAAGTCACGGGCCAGACGGGCAGCTGCTCGCTCAAAGAAAGACTCCAAATGGGGAAATGGAGAGCGAGAGTGACCTTTCGACACTGAGCAGGTCGGCGGTGGTTTCCTGTCCACCACACAGCCGCGACCCCCCCCCCCCCCCACCAATTGATTGGCCGGCCAGCTTTTCAGACAAGAAACAGAACCGGGCTGGCAGCTGACAGGAAATCGTAAAAAGGTTGGGCGTTGCACAGCAAGCTTTCTCCCTACTCAGTTATCTGAGACATTTTGTTGACATCTTCTTTTCTTGTCGATTGGTATATAATTCCCGACAAAAGCTATGAACGTGTGTTATATACAGATGGCATGTCGGGGATCAATGATAGTGAGATATATATATATATATGTGTGTGTGTGTGTGCTTCAAAATGTATCTCAATCCATTTTATATAACTTAAATATTTTGCAATCACGCGCTGATTCAAGCCACCACCCCACACCAAATAACATCCACCTCGCTCTTCCAGAGGAAGAAACTGATCCGGGGTCCCTTACCAAAGAAAACACAACCTACGCTATAGTTACCACCAAACTTATTCTTACTTTTTCCAGCCACCATGGTTGATGATTTGGGGATTTGGGGGGAGGGGGTTAGTTTGGAAATGACAATCGGGACTCAAGCAAGGTTTCAGGCTTCAGCTGAGCCAGTGAAATTCAGTGCACACTACGGGGGGTACATACATACATACATGCCATGGTACATCTGTACATGTACCAGCGTATATCCATGTTTATCTCCCCGTTTAATTTTAGCATGTGATCAACGGCTACCTGCGTCGACTGCAGAGAGAGCGTATGTAACCTTGGTAGGGCTAACTACATTGTTGGGGAGATAGTATGTAAATGCTTTGAAGGGGGTGCGTAGTGTATCTACGTACGTACGTACGTACGTACGTATGTAGATGACCCCGTCTCTTCAGAGTATAGATGAATATGTTAATGGATATCTGGAAAGATTCTATCTTCATATCTCTCATTTCTATTCTGCACTATGATGTATGTCTAAACATGTAACTATAGTTAGTACTATAATAAGATAATGATAAGGTAAAAACCACAGGCAACATTAGACTCTTAATTAAAGAATAGCTGAGGAGAGAGGGAAAGTAAGAAGGTTTAAATAAATAGCAGAAGGTGGGTGTGATGCTACATGAAGAGATGAAGAGATGTGCACATGCATACATGGAAGATGAAAGCTGTGTGAAGTTTGTCTGAAATAGTCTAGTTAACTATTAACTATAGTAAGTTAAGAAGTAGAGAAGAAAGAAAAGAGAGCTTCAAATAGATAAATAAAAACTGAAAGCAAGAATTCTTTTTCTTCTCCTTTCATTATTATTAACTTAATTAACTAAATATTTAACTTTCTTGATACAAAAAGGAAAAAGGGAAAAAACTGAAAATTCCTGCAAGCAATGAACAGTTTTGAACCAGCTCATCATGACCACTTTTTATGCCCAGGGTGATTGTCAATTATAGTCTGGGTCTCTTTGTTTCAGACTTGCTGATGGGTAATAAATAAAATAAGAAGGCTTATACATAAATTGATTCAAATTAGAGAGGGATTATCTTGAGAGATCTTATGGAGTACTCTTGAGCAGGTTGAGATCCAGCTGTAGCCAGGAATTTGACATTTGATGGTGATGAAGAGTTTATGAGCACAATTTGAGATCTAAAAAAGATTGCGATGGAATTCTTCAACGAGCTAACTTGGCTTCAAGAGATATGTATGTTAGGTAGTAAGTTAGTTTAGCTTAATCCTTGTCATAGGCTATGAGCCAACAACCAACCAACCTGCTGTTCTATACAAAGGAAATTTTGTAGATAATCATCATAATAATCATCATGCTGTTGCTCTGTGTGACATTGCTGCAGGAATAATAATACATAACTATACATATTAATAGTAGAGTACATTTCTCTTTATTCCTCTTTCTAATAGGAAGAATAGAAGAGGAATCTGGACCCGGCCATTTGGGTAATAATTCAGGGATTCCACTGAAGCCGTCGGCAAAGGTTCCTGTGCATACATTTTCCGCGGGAGAGGTACCTGTAGGCTGTAGATACGTAGTTAGTTAACTAGCTAGTTATGTAAGAGCCTCATCCTCGCCGCGTCTCGCTCCCTTTTCGCAATCCTCGACGCCCGACGACGTCTTCCATCTCAACCTCACCTCACCTCACCTCACCTCTAACTCATCTCTACTCTTCTCTTCTCTCCTCCAGTAGTATCTAGTCTAGTATCTGCACGTCTGCTTCTGCTTCTGTTTCTACTCACTCTGCGACACCCTTGCAACATCTGTCCTTCTCCCCATCTCCGCATCTCCAAACTGCTACCTCTCACTCTCCCGCTGTAGCCGACCCATAAACACCGCTGCCCCCGTGTGGGCTCCCAGCCCCTGGCCCCGCCCACTCATCATCGTTGTCAGGCTAACTACTGTACTCCGTACACCAGGCCAGGCTGGCTAACTAACACTAACTAACTATAACTAACTACTCAGGCTACTTTAGCTTGTTGTGGTTTATTGCTCCCTCCTCCTCGTCTCATCTAGTAGCCGGCTCCAGTACCAAGCAGCCAGCCTACCCTAGCTGGTTATTGATCACCCAAGAAACCCGTTCCCCGTCTAACCTCGCCTCGCCCCCAAAAATAACATCCCCATCCCTCTTTCATCATCCCGTCTTCTGCTCTCGTTGCTTGCTCGCTTGCTTGCTTGCTTAGTTACTTGTTTGCTCACCTGCTCAACTTGCTTGCTTGCTCCTGGGTTGCTTTCTAGGGTTACTTTAGCACTTCATCTGTTAAGCGCGTGCCTGCAAAAGGGGGGGAAAAAATCAAAAAGTAAATAACGCAAAGAGAGAAACAAGAGATAGTTCCTTTTTTGCTTTCTTCTCTTCTCTTTTATTTGCTCTTTTATTCTTCTGCTTCTTCTTTTCTTCTTCCCTTTGAAACTGGTAGAAGGGGACCCTGCTGACCGGGCAAGGTTTGTGTTTGGCGGAGTGAAGAAAGAAATACCAAAAAAAAAATAAACCGAAGGAATGGAATTGTACAGCAGCCCCGATCTCGCTCATCGCTGCGCTTGATTCGGTTCGATCCCGTCCTCCCCCCATCCATCGACCACCCAACCACTCATCCACCAGCCGTCCTCCGCTGTCCGCCTTCCGCTATCCCTCCCTCTATCGCTGCCTCACTCTCACCCCATCGAGATCCCTCCCAACAATCTCTTCTCGTGACCCTAACTAATCACGCCTTCTATCCTCCGCATTCGGGGTTCTTTCGGGTCATTTTCGCTTGCCTCAGAGCTACCGTTGATAACGACTCCACGCCATTTCTTTCCCGTGAGGTCTGATGGTTCTGATGGTGGTGATACTGAAGCTATTCAAGCTAACTAGTGCGCCTGCAACGACTAAATTGCCGCTCAGTTTAATATCTTCGTTCAAACTCTTCATCTACCCGATTTAATCCCGTCGGTTTCCCTTTATTTTTATTTTATTTTCCCCGGTTGTTTGCCTTCCACCTATATCCTCTCTATTATACTACCCCTTGCCGATGGATAGGAGGATGGATATCATTTCGCTTTTA